GGGGGGGGGGGGGGGGGGGGGGGGGGGGGGGGGGGGGGGGGGGAGGAGTAGTCAGCTGTACAAGACACATTACGTAAAAGGCTTTTGTAAATTTGTTTTCCAGGGAAACGTGAAGATGAAGAAGACAGGTCTGTTGCTCCTGTATACTTCAGGAGGTTGTCACAAAGCACTGAAAAGGAGCTTTTGGTTGGAGCTCTGGAAGAATCAGGGAAAGTCTCTCTCAGACCATATTCTGTGCGCAAGAGAATCCAAGAACTGAATCTCAGGGCTTTTGAATTTGGTGAGACCATTCTTGCACTTCAGGGGTTTCCAGTGCGGTTTCACAAAGTGCCACAAAATGCCAGCAGTGTTCAGGTAAATCTTGCTTACAGCCCATGGAGTGTCTTAGCTGGAATTACAGGTATTCAATAATTACCATTTGGAATTGAACATTTCTCCCTGCAGTGTTCTCCCTGGGCATCACCAAAACTACTGAGTCCTGTTGATGTGAGACAGTTGGCAATTAGCAGATCCATGGAGGACATCTATCTTAGAACTCCCATTCCATCCCCTGTCCGCTCTAGACGAAGGTCAAGAAATTCTGAATCAAAAGGATCTGAGCAACACCAACATGACAGTGAACAATTACTCTCTACCAATGGTGCAAGACTGGAATCATTGCTGAAGAGTGTGTCTACCTTTTCACGGTTTGTGATAGCAAGGCTGTGGATGGCTTCAGGCCTCCATTTATTGTTGAAATACTTTACTTTGGGTGATTTTCTCATAATGTATTGCAGTGTGTTATCACAAGGTGAAGTCAAGGGACTCACTTCCTTTCTCTACACAAAGGATGAGAAACTCCTGCAACGAATCCTGATCACAATTTCCAACTGCTCAGCCTTCTCCATGAATCAAGTCAGTAGCAAAATCATTTTCTGCTGATGACATAAATGGAAGAGGCATTGACTCCTGCAAGATGATTTCAATTTATGTAGGATCTTTTTCGAGAATCAGGCTGCTTCCCAAGACTGGAGGGTCTCCTGCACCATCATTCTCGACATGTGAGAATTGCGACTATGCAAGCTCTTAGCAACCTCTCCTTAAATGAACGCAACATCACTGAATTTGAGGTAGGTGGTGTCTTCAACTACAACTCACTCCCAGAGATGATTACATACTGTTTATTCCTAACAAGGACATCCATAATAAGAAACGAACAAATCAGTTCTTCCTTTGTCTTGTGACATTAGGCTTGCCTTCACTCATTTTGCTGGCTTGGTATAACCTTGTGATACTTCACCATCTCTGGCCTTGTTCTATGGATTGCTTTGTGACCTCATTTCAAGGCCTATAATTGCCATAGCAGAATGTCTTCTGGTAAAAGGATCAAGAAACCTATACATATATTTTCCTGTGCTAATAAGCTATGCTTCTTAATTCTATATACATTCTGAAATAGTTACTATACCTTTGATTCGCTTCAGGATGGGATGGGCCCTACATTACATTTGGTCTACATCTCCAAAATTCTTCTATTGATTGATTGATTTAATTCTCTAAATCCCTATTGGAAATCTTGCTTAATACTTATTTCATGACTGCATTCAAGAGACATGCCAGGCGGAAGCGAATCGGTGAGCTCCCATTCTTCATGTGATTTCCTAGGCTAGGCTCCTAGACATGGACTGCATTGTGAATATGAATAGGTATTTTATTTTACCCAT